CATGTGAGCCCAAAATCCAAACAGGAGAAAGGAGAAGGGATTGCAGTATGTTCATCCCCCAGGGAATGATTTCTCTCTGTCTCTCTCTCTGTCTTTCTGGTGAAGCACACGCCCTATAGCAAAAAAAAAAAAAAAAAAACGCCCATAGAACAAAAAAACACCCCCAAAAAAAAAAAAAAAAAAAAAAAAGAAGTGGGGGGAGAGAGAGAGAAAAAGAACAGAAGTACCTCCCAATGGACCTGGTTATGCTGCATCGTTTTTTCTTCCATTTTTCTATCCTCTCAGGATCCTAGCTGCTCACGCACCTGGCCTGAGGCTAATTAGGCCAGAACTTGAACCCTAGTTGGCCCTGTGAGATTCGGCTTTCTTCATACTGTATTATGGGGCTGGTCCACCCTCTTTTTTTCTTTTTAACATGAGTATGTTATTTTTAGAGTTGGTTTCCTGATTTGCTCTTTTTCAGCAGTCAATTGGGGAGTAGTCCCTCCTCTCCCACCCCATCTCAAGCTTCAGCCCTGACCCTCCCACATTCCTAGTGTCTGCCCCTTGCCCTCACCTGTGTTTACCCTCCAGGACTCTCATTCTAGATCTGTTGCTGATGCAAATGTGATTAACTTGTGACCACGTTAGCAAACTACAGAATCTTGCTGAGCCCCGTTGTCTGGCCTGTATTGTGCCGTTGGTGTGTCGTTAGCGCAGGCTGCTGTCACAAGCAGCAGAGTCCAGGGTGGTGGGGCAGCTCTTCTCCAGGCACTGGCTTGGGCTTGGGCTTTTTCCATCATGTGGTGACATTGAGAAAAGGAAGAGGGTGAGAACTGTGCTGGGGGCGATGGCCAGCCCAGGAAGGAGATCCTGATCCTGATCCTGATCCTGGCCCAGCTGCAGAGGAGCCTATGGGATGTTGTCTCCTGTGTCCCTGGGAGAAAAGCCACGCCAGCCAGGCACTCACACCGGCAGTCGGTAGCCACAGTCAGTAGGCCTGTCAGCAGCGAGGAGTTGGCAGAATTGGGGTTCATGGCGTCATCTTGGGTCATCTTAACAAAGGGACCCTTCTGTGGACTTACCAGCCAGTCGAGAACTGACCTTTCCCTATGACTCCACTGCTCACCTGAAGAGGCTTGGTCATTTTTGTCTTGTTTGTTTCCATTTAGCCCTCAATCTGATTGGCCCTCGAGCTGTGGATGTGCTGTCCGAGTTGTCCTACGCCCCAATGACACCAGACCACTTCCCAAGTCTCTTCTGTAAGGTGGGTTCTGGAAGGTTCTGTCCTTCAGATGGGCAGGGGATCCTCCTGAAGTGGCGGTTACACATTCTCACTGGTGTTAACCCCACAGTGAGTGTTCTGACCTTTATTAAACAAACAAAGTGAGTAAGTTATTTTCTTCAGTTTTTATCTTTCAAACTCTCCTTATTTAATAAGCATTAGAATCTTTGGAGTGGATCTAGTGTCTCTTAATGTCAGGTCAGTATATGTACTGGTTTCTGTGGCAGTGGAATAAAATTTTAAGTTACAGGATTATAGGACACTAACACCAGAAACTTCCAGTCAAAGTCGGGTCCCTTCTCTTCTTGTTTGTACACAGTTACTTCTGTGTATATGGTGTCTTCAGGCAGAAAACGCTGTGAGTGGATCCCAAAGCGCTTGCATCCTGTCCCCTATAAGTGGCCGCTGTAGCTGACACGACAAACTACTTGGGTACCGGCGGCAAGAACTGAATCCTCTGTGGGAAGCTGCTGATTAGAGAGGTCCCAACTGGCAGACGTTGAGCTTGCCTGAAACCAGCTGCTTCAAAACAGCTACTAATGGAGGCTCTTTGAGGTTCGAACCAAAGCTGGTGTCCAGATCCACCTGCAGACTGCTGTGTGTTCCTTCTCCAAGGCAGAGCGAAAGTAACAAAGCTCTCAGCCATCAGCTGTCAGCAGTCCCCTCACGGTGTCTCTCTACCGCTCGAAGGGAATGGTCCAAACACGTGTGCCTGGCAGGAGCCAAGTCATGTCTGGCTTCCTGGAAGTAGATTGTGAGCCCCGCCTGGGATGTCCTGCTTTCCTCTGGAGGTGCAGCAGTTGAGCCAGTGGCCCTGTTAGACCTGAGCGCTCTGAACTGGCTCTGAAAATTAGAAGCCAGCTCCCTGACCCAGGACAGCAAGAAGTGGGTGTGTGTGGACGTCAGGCCTCACCCTTTGTCTGGCAGGTGCCCATGATTTGCCTGCAGGGTCCTCAGAGCAGACACTTGCCTAGTCTTGGTTGTCCCCGCTGCCCCTGACCAACACAGCCTCTGATGGACTTGGCAGAAGAAAAGTATTCCATGTCCGTCAGAGTCTTTGCCTCCACTTCCACCGCCAAAACTGGGGGTGGTGATATTTGTGGGAGGAGCTGTTAAGGCTCTGCTCTGTGCTCTGTGCTCTTGTACCTGGAGTCAGACCCCTTCCAGTATAAAATTCCTCCCCTGGCTAAACAGAGCTGTGAGAGCCTTTTCCTCTGGTTTCCCCCTTGATTGACTTACTCCCTCTGTCTCTGCAGGAGATGAGCGTGGGCTACGCTAACGGGATCCGCGTGATGAGCATGACTCACACAGGGGAACCAGGATTCATGCTCTACATCCCCATAGAGGTGAGGGCTCTGCCTTCCTCCGACCACCAGCAGGTGTGCCGGCTCTCCCAGCCTCGGGAGCCCTGGCAGGTTGGAGAGCCGTTTGTGACAGGGCCTCAGGAACTGATGTGGGCCACAGTGAGGAGATTCTACAGTTTCTAAACAAGTTATTTAATTCTCTTTGAATAGGTAATACATTTTTTTTAAGTTTTTTTTGTCACAGGGCACATATGCTCCCCAGAGATAGAGACAGAGACTGAGAGAAAAAGAGAGAAATTACCTCCCAGGCGATGGCCATGCCGCAAACCCTTCTCCTCCATTCTCCTCTCGGAATCTTGAGCACGCATGCACACATGCCCAGTGTGAGTTTAAGCCACCGGGTCCAGGACTCAAACAGCAGTCAACTACATGGGAGTCCAGCGACATAACCATTGTGCCAACTGCTGGTTGCTCAGTAGCAAGTTTTTTAAAATTATTTTGTTTAACTTTATTTATTTATTATTTATGCTAATTTGATCGGAGAGGGGGAGGGAGAGAGAGAGAGAGAAAGCAACCTGCCAGGTTCAGGACTTGAACTGTGGTCGGCCATGTGGGAGTCTAGTGCCCTTAACCACCATGCCACCTGCTGGGCCCATCAACAGCAAATTTTTAAAAATAATTTCTATAGTGTACAAGAGTCTCTTTCCTTATTGCCTGTACTAGCACATAGAGCTGTCAGACTTCAGATTTTGCCAGCCTGAGAGGTGCAAAATACTTTGTGGGCCCAGTAACTTCCTTACAAGTGAGGTCGAGTGACTTTTCAAAACCCGTCTCCCTCCAAGGGAAAGCCAACCCACAGGGCCCAGCACAGTTTGCTGGCTTTTTCTCTACCCTGGGGCTTCTGATTTGGTCCTGTATTGTCAGCCTTTCTCAGTCCTGCTCATCTTGGAACTTGCCAGACATGCTTTGACTCAAAGCTTTTTTTAAGAATTATTTATTTATACTTCTGTGAGCAAGAGAGACAGGGAGAGGCAGAGAGCACCTCAAGGAGGGCACGCATGTGTGCATACCCAGCGCCCACGGGGTCTCCAGGCACGAGCCCAGAGGCTTTCCCCAAGGGTCAGCTTTAGTGAGCGTCACATCTTACCATGGCACCACTGCCAGACCCCACTCTGGGGCTTTGTGCTTACTGCGCGCCCTCCCTCAGCATGCCCTCCTGTACAAGCTCACACCACACGCACAGCTCACCTCCTTAGGTCTTTTCCACATGCCGCCTCTCGTGCATCCCGATTTCACATTGCAGGACCCCCACCTGTTCTCGTGGTCCTCTTTCCACCTGTTCTCGTGGTCCTCTTACCCTTTCATTTTTCTCCACAGAGCTTTAACACTACATAATATATATTTTGTTCAGATTGCCCTGTTAACTTTTTCTCTTTTTTTTTGAGAGGTTTTTGCTATAGGGTGTGTGCACTCGCCAGAAAGACAGAGACAGAGAGATAGAAAGCTAGAAATCACCCCCCAGGGAGGATGGTCACACCGCAATCCCTTCTCCTCCATTCTCCTCTCGGGATCTTGGGCATGCACACACACGTGCCTGGCGTGAGTTTAAGCCACCAGGTCCGGGACTCGAACTGCGGTCGACTACATGGAAGTCCAGCGACATAGCCATTACACTAACTGCTGGTCCCGCCCTGTTAACTTTTATAACCCTGTCATCTAGAGAAGCACTTGGCACATAAGTACTAAATAAATGTTGTACTGATTTTTCTGGTCATATCCTTTGTCTATTAGATTATTGATTTTTTTCTAAATTTCTAGGTACTTTTTTTGAATCAGACAGCCCTTGGTAATGAGTTGCAAATATATTTTATCTCCGTTTGTTATTTGCCTTGATTTGGTATGCTTTTTTTTTTTTTTAAGAGGTTTTTGCTATAGGGTGCATGCGCTTGCCAGAAAGAGAGAGACAGCAGAAAGCGAGAAATCACCCCCTGGGGGGATGGTCACACCACAGTTCCTTCTCCTCTCGGGATCTTGGGCATGTATGCACACACGCCCAGCGTGAGTTTAAGCCACCGGGTCCAGGACTCGAACCGTAGTCAACTACATGGGAGTCCAGCGATGTAGCCATTAGGTCATACACTAGTCCCATTTGGTATGCTTTTTTTGGCCATGTAGAAGGTAATTTTCTTTTAGAGGTTTTTGCTATAGGGTGCATGCGCTTGCCAGAAAGAGAGAGACAGCAGAAAGCGAGAAATCACCCCCTGGGGGGATGGTCACACCACAGTTCCTTCTCCTCTCGGGATCTTGGGCATGCACACACACGTGCCTGGCGTGAGTTTAAGCCACCGGGTCCAGGACTCGAACCGTAGTCAACTACATGGAAGTCTAGCAACATAGCCATTACGCCAACTGCTGGTCCTCATGTAGAAGGTTTCTTTTAATTATATTTTATTATGGAAATGTTTTATACACTTCAGAGAAATTAATCTGTTTGTACTTGAATTGATCAGTCTTTTCTGGTTTCCAGAATTTGACTCATTAGAAGAGACGTCTCCATCCCACGGTTACACAACTTTTGCAGTTTTCTTCTGGTGCTTTTACAGTTTGTTTTGTTGTTATTTATGGCTTTGTCATTTAAAAAAATAATAATAATTGTACTTGGGGCCCTAAGTACAATTCACACAGTCAGGTAGATCCCACATGGCTGACTGTGTGAGTTGAATCTCTGTTCCAACAGCTTGAAAAATATTCTGGGCACGTGTGTGTGCATGCCCCAAATCCTAATAGGATGGAGAAATGGAGGAGAAAGAACTACAGTGTGACTACTCCCCACTGGGGGGTGCTTTTTTCCCCTCTCCCTCTCTCTCTAGTGAACCCTGTGTCCTCTGGCAAAATAATGATAATAATTGCCACGTGCTCAAATCCCTGTACAGTCTAGAGGAGTGAAAAGGTCCAGGTCTTGCTCTCATGGAGTTTTCAGTCCAGCTCACCAACTCTAGCTGGAGTGCCTTGGTTTATCTAGGACGAGACCTCCTGGGAGTTTCGCACATATTCCCTTGTCTGCCTCACTGGTGTCAGCCATCAGCACTTCCAGACCCAGTCCACGGTTCATTCTGAGGTTAATCCTGCTGGTACTGACCTCTCGTCTCTCCCTCTAGTACGCCCTGCACGTCTACAACGAAGTGATGAGTGTTGGGCAGAAATACGGAATCCGGAATGCTGGGTATTATGCTCTTCGCAGTCTCCGGATTGAGAAGTTTTTTGCCTTCTGGGGTCAGGATTTAAATACCCTCACCACACCCCTGGAATGTGGACGAGAGTCACGGGTGAAATTAGACAAGGTACTGTGTTTATCATTTATTTAATTTTATTTATTTACTCATTCATTTAATTTGACCAGAGAGAGACAAGGGAGAGAGAGAGAGATAGAAAGTGAGACAGCAAACCACCAGATCCGGGACTCAAACCGTGTTCGGCTATGTGGGAGTGTCCAGCACCTTAACCACCACGCCATCTGCTGGTCCCCAAGGTACTGTGTTTATCTGGACTCTACTCTCACTCAGCTTCCTGAGTAGTGAAATCTTTTCTAGAATAGCAAGAACTTAAAAGGTAGGGAAATGTGGAAATGTTGAGACATGCGTACATGAATATGAATGCTTCGAATATAGGTGTGTGCATGTAACTTTTGTTAGGATTACATACTCTTTTTATTTTTAGATTTTTCCCAGAGGGTACATACACTTGCTAGAGTGGAGTGGGGGGCAACGAGAACTCACCCCCCAGGAAAAGCCATACACAGTCCCTTCTCCGTTCTCCTCTAAGATTTTCGGCATGCATGCACATACACCCAATATGATTTTCAGGCTGCTGGATCCAGGACTCAAACTGCCGTTGGCCATGTGGCAGTCCAGCACCTTAACCATACCACCTGCTAGCCCTGAAACATTGTTTTGGTTTGGTTTGGGTTTTGGGTTTTTTATGGAGCGGGTTTTTTGCTGCATGGCACGTGCACTCGCCAGAAACACAGAGAGACAGCAAGCGAGAAATCTCCCCCCAGGGGGGATGGCCACGCCTCAATCCCTTCTCCTCCATTCTCCTCTCTGGATCTTGGGCATGCACACACATGTGCCTGGCGTGAGTTTAAGACCCCAGGTCCAGGACTCAAACCACAGTTAACTATATGGGAGTCTAGCAACATAGCCATTACACTAACTGCTGGTCCCTGTTTTTTTGTTTTTTTTAAGACACATTTTTGCTATAGGGCACATGCACTCACCAGAGAGACAGACAGAGAGAAATGACCTTGGGGATGGGGAGGGATGGCCATACCACAATTCCATCTCCTCCTGGGATTTTGGGCATGCACACACATGCACCCAGCATGAGTTTTTAAACTGCCAGTTCTGGGACTCAAAACTGCAGTCAACTGCGTGAGAGTCCAGTGACATAACCATTATACCATCTGCTGGTCCCATACATTGTTTCTTTATGACAAGTATAGCAAGTATTTTTGAGTGATTGTTTTTCCTCCAAAGTTTTTTGTTCTATGTGATCTTTTAATTTCAGTCTGTGTTTATAAAGTAGAAAAAGAAAAATGTGTACCTCTATTGTTGGACAAATTCTCCGATGGTGCTTTTATATTGTGAATGCCACTTTTCACATGGTAGGAAACACATCGTTTCCCAAAAGCTGACAGGGTTGGGACCAGCAGATGGCATAAAGGTTACGTCGCTGCACTCCCTAGTAATTGACCATAGTTCGCATCCCAGACCTGGCAACTTAAAAACTCATGCCAGGTGCATGTGCATGCATGCCCAAAATCCCGAGAGGAGACTGGACGAGAAGGGGTGGTGGCGTGACCATCCGCCCTGGGGGGTGATTTTTCGTCTTCTGTCTCTGTCTCTCCAGTAAGCACACACACCCTATAGCAAAAACCTCTCTTAAAAAAAAAAAAGAAAAGAACAAATGCTGACAGGGACATGGAGGGGAAACACTGCACTCCACTGCGGTGACACTGGGGGGCTCTTCCCTGTGTGCTGCTCCGCACCCTGAGGGTCAGAGTGTACATGGCTTAGCGTTTCCTTTCTTCCCCAGGGCATGGATTTCATTGGCCGGGAGGCCCTGCTGCAGCAGAAGCAGAACGGGGTGTACAAACGCCTCACCATGTTCATTCTGGACGACCATGACACAGACCTGGACCTGTGGCCTTGGTGGGGAGAGCCCATCTACCGGAACGGGCTGTACGTCGGCAAGACCACCAGCAGTGCCTACAGCTACACCTTGGAGCGCCACGTGTGTCTGGGCTTCGTGCACAACTTTTCCGAGGACACTGGGGAGGAGCAGGTGGTGATGGCGGATTTCATCAACCGCGGAGAGTACGAGATCGACATTGCCGGGCACCGGTTCCAGGCCAAAGCCAAGCTCTACCCCGTCGCCTCTCTCTTCACCCACAAGCGCCGAAAGGATGATGTGGAGTTGAGTGACTTGCACGGGAAGTAATGCCAGCGCAGTCTCGCCACCTCCCCATCGCCCGCCCCTGCCCCGGAGCAGCATCGCCTCGGGAGTACCGCCTCCTTCCTCCCGCCCCTCCGTATTGAGCCTTGCCTCATCTCTTAGCTCTTTGACGTCATTTTGAATTTGACCCGCTTTTAAACTTCTTGCTTTGCAGCCTCTTTTTCTCCCAGCTCCTCTTTCTCTCTTTTCAGTCTCCCCTCCTACTACCCATCTGGGCTCTCCTTCCTGTCGCTCTTCCCAGCTCAGATTCCCATGGTGGCAGAAAGTATGTCTGACAGGCAGGACCAGCTCCATTTGTGACAGTGGGTGAAGGTGATAGCTGAACTTCACACCCTGCGTCTCAAAGCAAGGCAGGCTGATACTGTGCAGGCCTCGGGGAGGATCCTCCTCTCTGGGGCTGCATCTTCTCAGAGTAACCTGTTCACTTCGGTGGGGTTGGAATAGCTCGTGCCTTTCAGCCAGCCAGTTCACTCTCCGTTCCATCGCACTGTGGGTTGTCTCCAGTACCTCTAGCCAGAGGACGATCATCTACCTCACTGACGAGAGGCATCGCGTGCATTGTCCGGCCCCGAGCAGAGACAAGCAGTGCATGTGGGCCGCCCTCACCTCCCTGCACAGCCAGGTAGCAGGCCTGGGGCCAAGCCAGCTTGCCTGTAACGTCCCTCATCTCTTGCTAACCTCTGTAACAAGGTGGTTTTTTCTTTCCAGCTGAGTAGGCATTAAGCCCCAGGGTTCGAAAGGGAAAAACCATGTTGCCTTTTTTGTTGCTTTTCCTAGCAGAAAAAGGGTCTGACCTCCAAAAGTACAAGACCAACGATGCCGAGTTTTCTTCTACTAAAATTACGTTGCTTTTCTTTCAACTAGTCAGAGTTCTGTCATCCCATCTTTCTCTTCCACTTGTACAGGATGGTCGACTTGATTGGTTCGGCTCTCCCTGTCCCCTCTGCAGTCTGCCCTCACTCCACAAGCCTTTCTCTTTCTTTAGAACAAGGAGGGGAAGACGGGTGTGTCGTCCTGCCTGTGTCCCAGTTCTGCTTCGTCTGGCACAAACAGAGCCCCCACAGGATGGCCCATGTGGCTCACCGAGGGTTCTGAGTAGGAGGACACTAGAGAACAGCTTTCCATCTTTCCTCCCAAGTTCTTTTTTTCCCATCCAGATATCCCTTGTATCCTCTGGACTAGAAGAGGGCCGGAAATACCCCAAGAATCACCCCACACACTTCAAAGCAGTGTCTGTTTTCTGAAGGGGAGAGGCACGTGTCACAGGCTGTGCTACCGAAGCCCAGCACTTGCTATTCTCTTGCATATGAATTGCCCTCATCAGGTATTTTTGTTTGTTGTCAAAACAGACTGCTGGTAGAAATTTTTTTTTCTTTTTTTTCTGGTAGAGATTTTTAATTAACCTTTGTTATCTTGGTATCTCAGAAGCATTAGCTCCGATAAATCTCTAAGTACATTAAAGGAGATCCTTTCGTTTTATTAGAATAACTTAAAACTCTTGGGTGTCTGCCTTCTCTGGCATTTCCTTGGGACTCCATTTATCCAATTAAACTGGTTCCTCCTAGACATTTCTTGCCATTTCCCCAGCTCGACCACTCCTGCTTGTAACTGACTTTGGTATCCATAGTTTTTGGCAGTTCTCGGTTGATTTATAAAGGGAGCATGTGATTAGAATTCTGTTTGGGATCCTTGCTGTCACCGAACTAGCTGGGAGATGCCACTTCTGGGCAAAGAAAGAAAGAAGGGGCGAGCCCAGCAGTGACGCGGCAGCTGCAAGGACGTGGGACAGCAGGAACAGGCCGTGGTCAACACGGAGGTGCCAGCAGGAAGCCAGCCTCGGAGGATGGAAGCCGATGGCAGAGAGCTCCAGGTATCCCCTGCTCTTCCCAACACCGAGTGTGGGCTCCATCCCAGAGTCATCTTTGTAAACGAAAATTTATCTGGAATCCAATCCAAGAGAAATTCTTGACACAGGAGTAGACATAACCCTTCCAACCCTAACCGTGGCAATAACCGTGCTCTCTGTTCCATAGAAGTGGCACCACTCATGCAGATTCCAATGGAAATAATAAAAGCCATCTCCAGAGTTGAAAACCAGGGAATGCTGTCCTTGCGGTGTATTCACTTGAAGTTTCATCAGTTATGGTCGACATAGTGTCTTAAGACTTAGATTCTCTGCTCTTCCGTTCTTGTTTGTCTCTAGCTAGTTACTGTTGTATTAATTAGCTGGCCTCTCTAAGTCGTAGGAGGGAAATTGATGCTGTGTCCAAAATCATGCAGTGACATTCATTGTACTATGCTGGGAGCCCTTCCTCCTGCTGGCTGACAGGACAGCCTGCCCGCGAGAGCTGGCTGACTGGTTGACGGTGCTTCTCTTGCTGGGAGGGAGCCGGGGCAGGGTGGGTACAAGGGACTGTGCTTCCAAACACTGTGCACCGTGGGTGAAGCATAGGGACGTACCCCTGGGGCTCCACGAGCTGCTGGTCTTCGGGGTGTCACTTGCTTACTGAATACTCCCTGAGCCGAAACATACCATCTCTCTCTCAGCACCGGGAATTCATCCTTCAAGGCCACCTTGGCCCACTCCAGCGTAGGGAGTTTGGGTCTGGTTTTTTCTGTGTCTGATTCTGACCTGAGCTCTTTGAACAGGCAGATCTGAGGGAAAGGGACTCTTTTCTCCCTCTAGTATAATTGCTCTGCCTGTGTCTGATGTCACAAGCATGTGGGACTGTCAAGAGGACAGGCCAGTATAACCTCTGATCCCCCGGTGTCTGATGTTAGGGCACTCTGGACTCCTGACGGGCGCCAGCCGCTGAAGTCCACAGAGGTTACTAATGGGTGCACTCGGTCCAGAGGCAGGGCGCAAACCCAGCCGCAATGAGGAGGGACAGTGAAACATCCTCGTCTGCGTGTCATTTCCACCCCCTTGGCAGCGGGGCCACAGGGCTTGCCTTGCGTGATGCTCATGCCTGGGGGCCGGTTAGTCTGTCTCCCGTCCCTAGACAGAGGATTCTTGACACTTGTGAGTCGGTGGCTGGACCTGAGCGGTAGGGAGCCGGGTACTTGTTTTCTGTGACGTCTTTTGTCCCACCATGTGCTCTGGTCAGCATACTCCGAAACTCCTTTGAACCTAGGAACAGCAGGCGTGTTGGCCTCGCAGATAAAGGCCCAGCGCTGTGCAGCTCCTGTGGGCCCTCTCCTCCCTTGCGAAGTCTTTAAGTAGTCACCCTGCTCATGCCACACGTGGACCCTGTCCCTTAGCACTGCTGTCATCTGTATTAGGTTTGTATTTAGGTTTGCGTCAGGAAGGTTTCCCACCGATGAGATTGGCACTGAAGTCAGAAAATCTCTAACTCCAAGTTTTAAGCACAAAAAGGGAGAAGCAGCTGCTTGGATGGGCCATTTCGTGTCTTTAGATCTTGGTTTGTATCACAGAGCGCCTCCTGGACAGAGAGGCTCCTGGTGGAGGGGGTTGTCTGCACCCCGAATTCTAGAGAGCCCATTTGAGCCACAGACAGACCATTTAGGCTAGTGATTGAACTTTGGCCCCAAATCCTGTTTCCACAGGGGTAGAGAAATGACTTCATTTTGCTTCTCTGGGCCGCTGTACCCGGGTTCTCATCCACAGCATGGGCTTGACCCGCATGCTTCCCTTCCTGGGCTGCTGCTCCCAAGAAGGCACCTTAGTGAAAAACGCATCCTCAGTTTCACAGCACATGACCTCTGCGTGCGTTTGAAACCTCAGACCCCCCTCCACGAGGGAGGCAGTAGTGTGCAGGAGTGACAGCAGGTGACCCTCAGCCTTGGCTTCGGCTTCATTTCTCCTCTGGCTTGTGGACACCATTGCTGGCATTTGAGCGCGTCTTCGTCTTTGAGGACCTAGGTCAGGGAGGAACCTTCTGTGACCTACAGTCTCAGTACTGGTCCCAAGAGACTGTCCTGGGATTGGCCTTCTTACAGGGGTTAGCCACAGGATTCATCTTATATCTTCATTGCCTCTTCACCAGCACACTCCACAAGGGGCGTCTTTAATGTCTAAGACAGAGGTTTGGTCAGCAGTGGTGGATAGTGAGGAGTAACCTTCTACCTTCTGATTTTCTTCCTGCACCCATCCCACCCACATTTGATAGAAGGGGACTGTATCGGCCCAGTCTAGGGAAAGCTTTCTCATGGGGAAGAGTGGCCCTTGTGTACGTGGCATCTATGAGTACGTGGGTTAAGGAGAAGCACAGGTGAGTGGAAGAATGGTAGGTGAGGTGATGGAGTGAGCTGCCACCCCACGCCGTGCCACTGCTGACTGAGCCGTGGGCTGATGGCACCTGCCTCGCTACCACCACTGGCAGCCTCCAGTTCAAGGTCCCGAGCTGGGTTCCTTCACTGTGGGCAGGGGCTGGCCTCTGCGTTCCGCGTCTCTACAATGCACTGTTTCACAAGAGGACTGAGTATTTCGTGTGCCTGCACGACCGTGTCCATTAAACATCAGAGCCGATCCCTGCGTGATGTCTGTCTGGACTTCTCTGAGCAGAGTGCACCCCTTGGAGAATCGCACATTTCTGCACGGGCCACTGTCCTCATGGTACCCACACGCATCTGTTTATGTCCTTGGCACCTCTGCTGCTTCTTGTTTTCTTCCTTCAAGGGCAGATTTATAAGAAGTGGGGAGGACGTTTTTAGCAGCTGAGTCAAAGAGCTCTGTACCAGGATTTCCTTTGCACACCAAGAACTGGAGGTCAGAGCCCCTCCTGCTCCGAGCCAGGTTCTCGTGCCTTCCACCCGGGGTGTCCGATGGGTTAGACAGGAGGAACGAGGAAGAGTCAGCTCGTGCCAGTGTGTGGGCCCCATCCACCCACGGCCTCTCCCTCAGGACCACCGGGCACGGGGTAGAAGCGCCCAGCTCCCCCCGAAGGATCCACAGCACACTTGGCACTCATTTGACTCGTCCCCGCGGGGATGTGGGCACCACCGCCATTCCTGTAGAGGGTGGAACGCGCCCTGCGGTTCTGAACGTGCCGCCCAGTAGCGCTTTCCTGTTGCTGTGAGGACAAAACGTGGCCCCGAAGACGCCCGATCACTTTGTAAGTGGGACCTTTCCTCCAGAGCGCCGGTGACAGGCGCACAGGTGGCCGAGCGCTTCTGCCTCTCGGCGCGGCATTAGCGTTTCTGTCCAGCCAGGTGTCCGCGAAGATTTTCATTTCACGTTACTCGGTCTGTACGCGAATAAACACGTTTTCAGTACTGGGCCTGTCCGCCTGAGCGGTGTCTTTCACCTGCAGCAGCTGCTGGGGTGTTTGCCACAGAGCGCGTGGACGTGTGCGGGGGGCCGAGTGCCTGGGCCGCCAGGTGTGAGGGGCCCGGGCAGGCGGACGGCCCCCGATCAGGAGGACCCAGGTACCACTTTCCCCTCCAGGCAGGGCTGGGCTTGACACGGTGCCCACAGCTGCTCGGACGCCCGATAGGCCACCCCCCACCACGTGCGCGCCGGTGAGCCGTGTTTGAGCTTTACTCACCCCTGCGGGGAGCAGAGAGCACTGAGCAGAGCAGCCAGCGCTGTAACCATCCAGCTTTCGTGCCCGGGCTTGGTGGCCGGACTTGACCCTGCCATGTGGGAGTCCAGCATCCGTAACCACCACGCCACCTGCTGGCCTGGATCTAGCAGCTTTAACCACCATCCTACAGACTGGTCACATCTACCAGTCTAATTTGTATCTATTTTCCTTTTGGCGTTAATGTTTTTATTCATGGTAGGGCATGCACACACGTATGAGACAGAGACGGAGAGACCGTCACATCACATTCCCTCCCACCAGTCCTCTAGCCTGCCAGGGCCCTGGGAACGTGCACACACTAGTGTTTCCAGGCCAGCCCGCCCAGGCACTCAAACCACAGTTGATACGTGGCTTCCAGCTCTGCAGTCTTTTATGCTACTGACCGCTCCACAGAGGCTGGGTCTAAGTCAGTGCTGTTTACATTGTAGGCGACTAGCAGGCGACGCGGTGGTAAGGCTCAGGACACTCCCACATGGCTGGCTGACCATGATTCAAGCCCTGGACCTGGTGGCTTGCTTTTTTAAAAAATAATTATTTACTTTTATTTATTCATTCATTTTAATTTGACCAGAGAGAGACAAAGAGAAAGAGTGAGAACGCAAGCTGCCAGGTCCAGGACTTAAACCATGGTCAGCCATGTGGAAGTGTCCAGAACCTTAACCACCATGCCACCTGCTGGTCCTGCTTGCTTTTTCATTTTCTCTCTGTCTGTCTCACTCTGTCTCTCTCTGGTCAAATAATTAAAATAAATTAATGAACAAATACAATTAGAAATAATTATTTTTAAACATTGTTTACATTGTTTTGGCTTAAGTATTGTTCTCAGCTGAACTATGTCATATACTATGGTTATATTTTTCTTGTTAAAAATTTTTTGCTGAAGGGGACCAGCAAATGGCATAATGGTTACATTGCTGGACTCTCATGTAGTCGACTGCGGTTCAAGTCCCAGACCCAGTGGCTTAAACTCACACAGGGCATGTGTGTGTGTATTTGGGGAAAATCCCAAGAGGAGAATGGAGGAGAAGGGATTACATGGCCATCCCCCTAGGGGGTGCTTCTCACCTATCTCTGTTTCTTTCTGTCTCTCCGGCAAGCACATGGACCCAATAGCAAAATCTCTAAAAATAATAATAATAATAAATTTTGCCAAAGAACCTGTGTGCTTGGCAGAAAGAAGAAGGGGAGCAAGAAAGGTCCCCTATGGGGCATGGTCGTGCTTCAATTCCTTCTCCATTTCTCCTTCCCTTCGGGATTCTGGGCACACATGCACACGTCTAGTACTCGAACTGCAGTCAGCCATGTGGGATCCAGCTGCCCCAACCACCAGGCCACAGGCTGACCCTATGATTATATTTTCTGTTTCATTATTAGAGATTCCAAAAGTACTGGGCCAGCCCTGTAGCAGGTGGTTAGACCTTGTGCATAGGGAGCTGGGTCCCATGAGGCCTTGGTTTGGTTGAGGGACACAGCCTCAAGCCAGTGTCCTGTGCTGGCCTTGCCCCACTCTGAGGCCACTGCTGATACCCTATCCCTATTCTCTGTGTTTGCCCAGGAAATCCAGAGAGCTGAAATCTAGCTCTGAGAGGGTGCTGGCTCAGGGTTCAGGGGTCACGCGCTCCACAGGAGGAAATAGCTGTGCTTTTGGATGGATGACCTTTGATCTGCCCTGAGAGGAATGTGGGCATTGGGCTGCAGCCTGCAGGATGCCCCCCCCCCTTTTAAGTTTCTTTCATGAGCGAGAAAGAGAAAGAGAAACACCCCTAACAGTCCTGGCGCCACAATTCACCCGCGGCTTCAGCTGGCCCCAGATCACGGGTACAGGATTACTGGACGTACTCAGGAGGTTTCTGGACTTAACGGGGAAACTTCCCATGCTGGTCAGCCTCACAGAGCCTCATGTTTGGACCTCAGAACTTGGACCTCAAAATAGCCTTTTCTTTTTTAAAAAAAATTATTTATTTAATTCCCTTTGTTACTATTATTTTAAAAATTTGACCAGCAGTTGGCATAATGGCTACGTCACTGGACTCCCATGTAGTAGACCATGGTTCAAGTCCCAGACCCAGTGGCTTAAACTCACGCCGGGCGCGTGTGCGTGCGTGCCCAAGATCCCGAAAGGAGAATGGAGGAGGGATTGCGGCGTGGCCATCCTCCCTGGGGGGTGATTTCTCACTTTCTGTCTCTCTGTCTCTGTGTCTTTCTGGCGAGTGCACAAGCCCTATAGCAAAAGCCTCTCAAAAAAGAAAGAAAAAAGAAGAAAAGAAAAGAAAAGAAAAGAAAAAAATTTGACCAGAGAGAGAAAGGAAAAGTGAAAAAGCAAGCCACCAGGTCTGGGACTCAAACCACTGTTGGCCCATGTGGGAATCCCGCGCCTTTAACCACTACATCCCAGCCTTTTATTTTCTAAGCAGTGCAGCCATGGTGCAGATCTCCTTCAGCCTGATCTGATGGGATTATGTAGGCTCAGCAGGACCCCTGAACACCATGGCAGTGTGCAGCCCTCCTGCTCCGCAGCCTGCTTGTCCAGAGGCAGACCAGTTTCCCACAGGGCCGGGGCCAGCCAAGGGCATCACGTGCTCCCTGCCGCCTGCCTTACCTCTCCTGGCCTGGAGTCACGTGAGAGAGGGTTCAGGCACCAGGGCTGGGCCTGGTCCCTCCCCCCACCGCCTGGACAGACTCTCCTAGGGCACCTTTCCTCTGGCAGGTGCAGCCCCTCCCCACTCCCCTGCTAGCCCGCTTACCTCTCCTATGTTTAATTCATGGCTTTATGGCCAGGGGTTGGGATGAGCTTCCCAAAAAAGGGAAGAACCCTCTCCCAGGGTCTCGGGGTCTCACTCAGCTCCTGCCCGCCCATGGCCCATGGCCTCCTCCCTCCCTGACTGACTGGAGGATAGAAGCTGACAATGAGCTCTGAGGATACCGTCCCAGCTGGGCACAGCCATCAGTCACTAATCTGCAGTCCTGGAATGTCTGTGGGCCAATCAGTGGGGTCTCCGGGGGCTCCCCGAGGGCGCTAATAATCCTGCAATGATTAGCAGGGGCCACGGGGTCAGTGCGCACGCTCTGCCTGCTGTCGGTGGGCCGGGCTGGCCAGGCCAGAGGCCGGGGCAGGGGGGCATCTCCGAGAACTGTCTGTCTCATGCCAGCGCGGCCGACGGGAGGCTGTCTGGACACACCGATTACTCACCAGCCTGTCTCTGTGTCTTTCTGGCGAGTGCACAAGCCCTATAGCAAAAGCCTCTCAAAAAAGAAAGAAAAAAGAAGAAAAGAAAAGAAAAGAAAAGAAAAAAATTTGACCAGAGAGAGAAAGGAAAAGTGAAAAAGCAAGCCACCAGGTCTGGGACTCAAACCACTGTTGGCCCATGTGGGAATCCCGCGCCTTTAACCACTACATCCCAGCCTTTTATTTTCTAAGCAGTGCAGCCATGGTGCAGATCTCCTTCAGCCTGATCTGATGGGATTATGTAGGCTCAGCAGGACCCCTGAACACCATGGCAGTGTGCAGCCCTCCTGCTCCGCAGCCTGCTTGTCCAGAGGCAGACCAGTTTCCCACAGGGCCGGGGCCAGCCAAGGGCATCACGTGCTCCCTGCCGCCTGCCTTACCTCTCCTGGCCTGGAGTCACGTGAGAGAGGGTTCAGGCACCAGGGCTGGGCCTGGTCCCTCCCCCCACCGCCTGGACAGACTCTCCTAGGGCACCTTTCCTCTGGCAGGTGCAGCCCCTCCCCACTCCCCTGCTAGCCCGCTTACCTCTCCTATGTTTAATTCATGGCTTTATGGCCAGGGGTTGGGATGAGCTTCCCAAAAAAGGGAAGAACCCTCTCCCAGGGTCTCGGGGTCTCACTCAGCTCCTGCCCGCCCATGGCCCATGGCCTCCTCCCTCCCTGACTGACTGGAGGATAGAAGCTGACAATGAGCTCTGAGGATACCGTCCCAGCTGGGCACAGCCATCAGTCACTAATCTGCAGTCCTGGAATGTCTGTGGGCCAATCAGTGGGGTCTCCGGGGGCTCCCCGAGGGCGCTAATAATCCTGCAATGATTAGCAGGGGCCACGGGGTCAGTGCGCACGCTCTGCCTGCTGTCGGTGGGCCGGGCTGGCCAGGCCAGAGGCCGGGGCAGGGGGGCATCTCCGAGAACTGTCTGTCTCATGCCAGCGCGGCCGACGGGAGGCTGTCTGGACACACCGATTACTCACCAGCCTCCCCTTTTGTCTGCCAGCCCAGCCTGACTCCGTCCAGCCTGGCAAGAGCTGGACGGCTAAGCCAGGCCTTGCACAGAGCCTGACAGGCCCATGCTGCCGTGGGAGCCCTCTCCAGGACGAGGAGGCCACCGGTCTGGCCTTCTGCTCCTGGCCCTCCTGGGCCTTGTCTGGGCAGAGGTGCCGCTGCGCCAGCTGCAGGAGCAGGTGCCAGTGCCTGGAGGTAAGGGCCCTGGGCAGGGACAGAGGTGGAGGACGCTTACAGGGTGGACAGTGTGGGGGGTTGCTAGTTGTGGGGTTCCAGGGGCCTCCGGGCAGCCTGACCCTGGGTTGCTGGGTGGAAACTGGGCTGGGAGGAACAGGACAAAGAGGTGGGGGGGTGCCGGGATTGGGGCCAGGGGAGGGACACAGAACTGGAGTCTGCCACTGGGACCCCAGAAGAGAGAGGCCCCAGCCATGGGGTTGCTCGGAGCCAGGACAGCCCCCTCCTTGCACCCAGCCCCATGCCCTGGCCTTGTTCCCTCCTACCAGCCCTGCCCGCACACTGTGCAGGTTCTGCTTGCTCCCACCCCAGGCCCTTCCGCTCTCCCCTCAGATGCCTTCCATCTCTGCTGCGCCCTCCGCGCCCCCTCCACTCTCCCCTCAGGCCTATTTCTAAGGGTGGGGTGCTCCGGGCAGGCGGCTGGCGGCTGACCAGCCTCCCACCCTCAGCCCTGAGCAGGAAGGAGAGTTTCTTGCTCCTGTCCCTGCACAACCGCCTGCGCAGCCGGGTCCAGCCTCCTGCGGCCAACATGCAGAGGATGGTGAGTGCCCCCTCCACCCTCAGCTCCACCCACGAGGGGCAGGCGGCCTGCAGGGCAGGGTGGGCGAGGACAGCTGGTCACCTTGCTGGTGGGCCCATGATCCTGGGTGGGAGGGGGTTTCCAGCTCCCTGGGGGACCCCCAGTACAGGAGGTCAGGCCCCTCTGTCCACACTCACCTGAAAGACAGACTCTGGCTTTCCCTGGCATCCTGTTGCCACAGGGCCCAGGAGCCCAGGAAGGGGCCGGGATCCCCTCCTCAGGGAAGAACTTCACAAAGGATTTGGGCAGGTTGGGAGGGACAGGGGGTCAGGAGGGCCTGAACCTGGCTGAGCTGTAGGAGGGGGCGCCCCACATTCCCTGCTGGTTCACTCCTTCGCATCCCACAGCAGGAGGGGGTGGCTGGGCACAGGGAGGAAGGGGGGCTTCCCATCATCCTGGCTGGCAGAATTGGGGCTGTCATCTGAGGCTCAGAAACACTGACTCCCCCGGTCTGCGTCCCATGCAGGGAGTGAGAGCAGTCAGGGTTCCCCATGGCTGCTTCCCTCAACTCCTCCTCACTGGTGACCTTGAGAGCTCAGGGGTCAGTTTCCCAGGAGGTGGGGGTGGGGCAGACCTGCAGGCTGGGTGGTGGCCTCTGCAGGCCCCGGCCCTGGGCAGCCCAGGGGCTCCCAGCCATGACAGCTGCTGGTGGTGCTGCTGCCTGGGTCCTGGGTAAGGGCTGTGGCAGAGCTGGCTGGCAGCTTGTACCCTTTCCAGGAACCTCCTGCCAATCCTAGGAAACCGCATTTCAAGAAAAGGTGCAGGTGGGCCCCTCCCGTTGGCGCTGAGCACCCCTGCAGGCCTCCGGAGCTCCCAGGGTGCCCTTCTTTTATACGCAGTGGAAACCAAGGCCCTTGGGGGGACCCGGCTGCTGAGGGGCCCCCGGGAGCTTCCCCGCTCAGCCACCTCAGAAGTGAAATCTCAGCGAGCCTCTGCCCAGGGCAGGGCTACCGAGGGTCCAGCGCTGAGCTGGGCACCTCCCTCCCGGGTCTGTTTATCCTCACGGCAGTGAGCCGTGGTGTCCCGTTTACAGACGAGGACGGTGTCCCGTTTACAGACGAGGACGGTGTCCCGTTTACAGACGAGGACGTTGAGTCTCGGAGTTAGGTGACTGCTGGAGGTCACACAGCTGGGATGAGGTGGCCGGGCTGGACCAGGAGGTGGGAATCGGGGGATAACCTCTGACCTCTGAGGTCCTCATTTCAGAAGAGGGGCAAGAGGGAGGGGGTCAGCTGGTCCTGGGCAGGGAGGCCAGGAGCCCTCACCCCGCTTTGTTTCTCCTGGTACCCCGGTAGGTGGGGCCAGAAACCCAGGACAGAGGCCAGAGCTGCTGGGGTTCTGCACCCAGGAGGGAGGGCAGCTGAGCTTTCCCAGCCAGCTCAGGCGGGGCTCAGCGACTCGGGCACTGCCAGGGCTCTCCTTACAGGCATTACCAGGTTCGGTCCTGGGTGGAGCCGGGCCCTGGGCCGGGTGTCAGAGGTCGCCCGTACCTGGTCAGCACTCTAGGGAGAGCTCCTGGCTGGTTCTGCTCGACCCGCCCTGGTTCCCCTGTGATGGGAACCAGCTCGGAGCATCTGTGGCTGAGGAGGGCTCTTCATCAGGTGCCCTCGCCTCCAAACGACCTGGTATCCCGTGGGTGCTCGGGAATGGTGGGGCTGTGAGTCACGAGGCCTGGCCCACGGATCTCCTCCTTCACCCCAAGGTTTGTGCCGCCCCCAGGACTGGAGTGACAGCCTGGCCCGACTGGCTCAAGCCAGGGCAGCCCTTTGTGGCGCCCCGGCCCCGAACCTGGTGTCTGCGCCACCATGGGCCCCACAACTGGGTTGGAACATGCAGTTGCTGCCCGCCGGCTCAAGGTCCTTTGTCGAAGTGGTCAGCCTGTGGTTCGCCGAGGGCCAGCAGTACAACCACGCGGCAGCCGAGTGCTCCCGCGACGCCACCTGCACTCACTACACTCAGGTGAGTGCACACGTGGTAGGTGAGGCCATGGTCCACACCCTCGCGTTCCACAGCAGGACGGGGGTCAGGGCCACAGGGCTCCCAGGCCCTTGAGGCCACCTCAGATGGAGGTACAATTTGTCCTAAGTTGAAAGTCATGCCAGCACGGCACGTGTGCCCCAGGGTGATGACTCAGTGTGACTGGAACAGCGTGACCAGCCAGCAGATCACTGTCCGTTTACAGACGAGGACGTTGAGTCTCGGAGTTAGGTGACTGCTGGAGGTCACACAGCTGGGATGAGGTGGCCGGGCTGGACCAGGAGGTGGGAATCGGGGGATAACCTCTGACCTCTGAGGTCCTCATTTCAGAAGAGGGGCAAGAGGGAGGGGGTCAGCTGGTCCTGGGCAGGGAGGCCAGGAGCCCTCACCCCGCTTTGTTTCTCCTGGTACCCCGGTAGGTGGGGCCAGAAACCCAGGACAGAGGCCAGAGCTGCTGGGGTTCTGCACCCAGGAGGGAGGGCAGCTGAGCTTTCCCAGCCAGCTCAGGCGGGGCTCAGCGACTCGGGCACTGCCAGGGCTCTCCTTACAGGCATTACCAGGTTCGGTCCTGGGTGGAGCCGGGCCCTGGGCCGGGTGTCAGAGGTCGCCCGTACCTGGTCAGCACTCTAGGGAGAGCTCCTGGCTGGTTCTGCTCGACCCGCCCTGGTTCCCCTGTGATGGGAACCAGCTCGGAGCATCTGTGGCTGAGGAGGGCTCTTCATCAGGTGCCCTCGCCTCCAAACGACCTGGTATCCCGTGGGTGCTCGGGAATGGTGGGGCTGTGAGTCACGAGGCCTGGCCCACGGATCTCCTCCTTCACCCCAAGGTTTGTGCCGCCCCCAGGACTGGAGTGACAGCCTGGCCCGACTGGCTCAAGCCAGGGCAGCCCTTTGTGGCGCCCCGGCCCCGAACCTGGTGTCTGCGCCACCATGGGCCCCACAACTGGGTTGGAACATGCAGTTGCTGCCCGCCGGCTCAAGGTCCTTTGTCGAAGTGGTCAGCCTGTGGTTCGCCGAGGGCCAGCAGTACAACCACGCGGCAGCCGAGTGCTCCCGCGACGCCACCTGCACTCACTACACTCAGGTGAGTGCACACGTGGTAGGTGAGGCCATGGTCCACACCCTCGCGTTCCACAGCAGGACGGGGGTCAGGGCCACAGGGCTCCCAGGCCCTTGAGGCCACCTCAGATGGAGGTACAATTTGTCCTAAGTTGAAAGTCATGCCAGCACGGCACGTGTGCCCCAGGGTGATGACTCAGTGTGACTGGAACAGCGTGACCAGCCAGCAGATCACTGTCGTTGGCTCCGATTGCGCGCTGTGATCAGCTGTCTATGCCTTAGCATGGACGGGCTTCCATGATCTGCTTACTATGATTATGCCCAGCCTGGTTGGATTAGCATGATTGATTGCTATGGTTAGACTACTCTCGCTGGTTCAAAACGGCTCAGGCTGATTATTGAAGGACTCAGACTGGCCAATGACCACTTCACACCAATTAAGACTAATTCCAGGGACCAGTAGTTGGAGTAATGGTTATGTCGCTGGACTCCCATGTAGTCGACCATGGTTCAAGTCCTGAACCTGGTGGCTTAAACTCATGCCAGGCACATGTGCGTGCATGCCCAAGATCCCGAGAAGAGGGACCATCAGTTAGTGTAAGGGCTATGTCGCTGAACTCCCATGTAGCCGACTGCGGTTCGAGTCCTGGACCTGGTGGCTTAAACTCACGCCAGGCGTGTGTGCATGCATGCGTGCCCAAGATCCCGAGAGGAGAATGGAGGAGAAGGGATTGCGATGTGGCCATCCTCCCTGGGGGTTGATTTCTCGCTTTCTATCTCTGTCTTTCTCTGTCTTTCTGGCAAGAGCACATGCCCTATAGCAAAACTCTGAAAAAAAAAAAAAAAAGACTAATTCCTACTGGTTCAAGTCAGTTTATAACAGTTCTGACTGAATTAGACTAGGTAGAACCAGTTCAAACTGAGGAAAACCAGTTAAGACCAGCGAAAACTAGCACAGGCTAGATCACACAAGTTTACACCCCAAACCAACCGAGGACGATTCAGACCAGGTCAAAAACAGATCAAACTGGATCAGATCAAACATTGAGCAAATGTTTTACTTAAAAATAGATATTATTTAACTTTATTTAATTATTTTAATTTGATCAGAGAGAGACAGGGTGAGAGAAAGAGAGAGGCCCGGGACCCCAGGGGCTCATGGGAGAGAAGTGAGAAAGCAAGCCGCCAGGTCCGACATGCGAACTGCAGTTGGCCATGTGGAGTCCAGCGCCTTGAACCACACCGCCTACCAGCCGCATGTTTCACTTTTTATAAGCTACTGGAAAAAACCCTCACGCTATATTATAGACGTGCACGCTCACCAGAGAGAGGCAGAAGGAAAGAAGAAAGCACCCCCCATGGGAATGGTCATGCCCTAATCCCTTCTTCATCGGTCCCTCCTTTTGGGATGTTGGGCACACAAGTACACACGCCTGACACGTTTCTCAAGCCACTGGTTCCAGGACTTAAATAGCAGTCGATCATGTGGGCTCTTCCTGCCTTAACCGCCAGACCGTGGGACTAGCCCTGGAATTATTTTTAAAGGATTTTTTATCGTTGCCAGAGGCCACGAACACTTTCCAGGAAGAGACAGAGAGACAAAGAGGCAGAGGGAGAAAGTGCCCCCCGATGGGGTGTGGCTGTGTCGCAACCCCTTCTCCGTCATTTCTCTGTCCTTTTCGGACCCTGGGCACACATGCACATGCACCTGGCGTGGTTTTCAAGCCACCATGTTGGCCCTGAATGTTCAGGCCCTCAATATCCAAGTCTTCCTTTTGCCGCTCTCCTCCACCCACCTGTGATCCCTCCTCCCCCTTCAGGTCCGTGAACCCCCACCTCATCTAACCTCCACTCCCTTCTCCCTGGCATCCCTAACTGGTGCCCACCCATCCTTGGGGCCCTGCCCAGCATAGCCACTGCTCCTGAGGCCCCAGGGGAGTTGAGGGTGCTTCTGCCTGCCTGGAGTATAGTGAACGCTGCATCCTCCCCCCCACAAGCATGCCTCACCTGTGCTGCTCCAAAGTTGGGATCCGGGGTAGCCTGGGATGGGGTTTCTGAGCTGCCTTGTCCCCTGCAGCTCGTGTGGGCCACCTCGAGCCAGCTGGGCTGTGGGCGGCATCTGTGTTCCACGGGCCAGGCAGCGAGGGATGCCTTTGTCTGTGCCTACTCCCCGGGGTAAGCCTCCATGAAGAGGGCAGCTACCCTGCATCCCCAGCAGGGCTATTTGAGGGGCAGAGGGGGTGGTGAAATGGCCACCCATCCACCTGTTCACCTGAAAGGTTTCTATCCCTTGGTGGGCCTGGGAAGACGGGGAGAAAGGTATGGAGAGTCCTGGCCATCAGAATGCAGTTCTCGCAGATGCCCCCCCCACCCCCGGGCGCCCAGCCCTGCTCATGGAATTTGCCAGAATTCGTTTGGAGGTCACTTTGTCTCCTAGGAAAAACCCAGCACCCTGTCTCCCCAGCTCCCTGACTCCTTGGCAAGGCTGGAGGAGGCCAAGGGGCCGGCAGGGCAGGCAAAGGCCCACCACCCTGCCCAAGGCCACCCTTCCAGACCCTTGACCCTTGTTCTCACAGAGGCAACTGGAAGGTGAACGGGAAGACCATCGTCCCCTATAAGAAGGGCGCCTGGTGTTCGCTCTGCACAGCCAGCATCTCGGGCTGCTTCAAAGCCTGGGACCACGCAGGGGGGCTCTGCGGTACGTGACCCCCACCGGCTCCTGGGGCAGCAGGCACATGAGGACTTGTTCCAGAGGGGCTGGGGAACTGGCAGCATCCTGAGGGCTGTCCCCAAAGCTCAGGGCCTCACCACCCAGGCTTGCTGGGGGTTCCCTCTCAGAGTTCCCTCCTGTCTGACCAGAGGTCCCCAGGAACCCGTGTCGCATGACCTGCTGGAACGGCGGACATCTCAACGTCAGCACCTGCCGCTGCCACTGCCCCCCTGGCTACACAGGCAGATACTGCCAAGGTGAGGCACTGGGGCCAGAGCCCAGCTGCCACGTGCCCACTGCACACGGCTGCTTCCCTGGTGTGTCCCTGAGAAGGCCCGAGGGAGCCTCGAGTGTGCCAGGTTTGCACACCCTGAGCACTCAGTTGGCCAGCACTCACAGAGCACCCACAGTCTGCCAGCCCCAGAGCTGTGCGGGGCTCCAAAGTGGAACCAGATCGGGCCCGTTAGCCTCAGGGAGGGTGAGAGAAGATAGAATTGGGGACCAGAAATGGATTCTTGCCACTCTGTCCCACACCCACTCCACTTGGTGACCACAGGCAAGTCACCTCCAAAACCCCAGCCAAGACAGCAGGTGTGGCCACAGTGTCAAGCCCTGAGAGTTCTGTCTCTGAGACGGGCGATCTAGCTGTGGTTGGCATCCCTGGCACATCTGCAGCTGTGGCAGCATCGCAGGGTCCAGGCGGCCGGGGCTGAGCACTCCCCCATGCCCCATCCTGACAGTGCGGTGCAGTGTGCAGTGCATGCACGGCCGGTTCCGCGAGGAGGAGTGTTCCTGCATCTGTGACATCGGCTATGGGGGAGCCCAGTGTGCCAGTGAGTCCTGCCCCGAGGCCTCTTAGGAGGGGCCTTCAGGGGGTGCTAGATCTAGCTCATGCCAGCTCAGAGAGCCCAGGAGAGGCATCTCTGCCTGACTCCACATTCGGTGACACCACACTAGTAGTTTCATGCTGGGGTATTTACACCACAGAAATTGGCAAATGCTACAAACCGTGGCCTTCGAGCTCGTGTTACACATTGACCAGCGCTTGACTGCTGACCGCACCCCACCCCTCCACGTGGAGCAGGTGGCACTTGGAGACTAGCTCCCTGATGGGGTGGGAGAGGGTAACAGTTCTGAAGTTCACACACAGCTCGGGCTCACCAACCCCACCCCGCAGCCAAGGTGCACTTTCCCTTCCACACCTGTGACCTGAGGATCGACGGTGACTGCTTCACAGTGTCTTCAGAGGCAGACACCTATTATGGAGCCAAGATGAAATGTCAGGTGACAGTTGACCCTGCAGGCCCAGGACCCCAGGGGCTCGTGGGAGGGTCTGAATGGAGGGACCCGAGACTGAGAGATGGTTCTTTCGACTTCTCTGACCTCAATCTCCTCATCAGCATAGAGCAGGGGCTACAGACTCAAGGATCCAGGGACAAGGCCCACCCAGCCTCTAAGGGCACTGTCCTGACTCGGCCCCAGCTGAGTGGCCTTGCAGGATTTCCAGGCCACAGTTACCAAGACTCAGGATTTTCCCAGAGAGCCAGAAATCCAGATTTTATTAGCTAATGTTGTCAATCAACTCGAATGTATTCAAGACACTGTGTAGTTGAAACCGAGTCCTTCCGTGGGCAGGACCCTGCCCAGGCCTGTGGGCTGCACAGGGAGAGAAGCAGGCAGAGCAGAGAAAGGGGGACCCCTGCTCTTAGAGGCAGGAGGGGGAGATGACAGCCCAGCCAGCACACGTTTGGCACCCACGGCCATGGTGGGGCGGTGGGATGGGCAGGAAGGGGTGGCCTGAGCTCTGGGGGCTCTGCCAGTGTGACCTGGAGTGACGGTTACAGGGCAAGGGTGGGGTGCTAGCCCAGATCAAGAGCCAGAAGGTGCAGGACATCCTCGCCTTCTACCTGAGCCGCCTGGAGACCCCCAACGAGGTGACTGACAGTGACTTTGAGACCAGGAACTTCTGGATTGGTGAGTGCCCGGCTGGCAGGGGGTGTGTGAGTGCGGAGGCCTGATGTCCCACAGTGCTCTAGGAACCCAGAGACAGCAGGGTGTGGCCCCGAATTGGGCCACTTGAGGCTGCCTGTCCCTTCCCGGGGAGAGGGAGGGCAGAATCACCAGGGAGGCTGGGAGTGCTGGAGTGGTTAACAACTGAGGGCCGGGAGCATTACGCAGCAGGTGCTCTGCCCAGAGCCCCCTCTCAGGGTCACGAGGCTCTGAGGGGCCAGGGATCACAGGTGGTGGCCAACGCTGGCTACCCCGACCCAGGGCTCACATACAAGACTGCCAAGGACTCCTTCCGCTGGACCACCGGGGGGCACCAGTCCTTCACTAGCTTCGCCTTCGGCCAGCCTGACAACCAGGGGTGAGTCTGGGTGGCCCTCCCTCCCCTAGGGGCCGTTCTGAGCGTCTACCCTCCACTGAGGACCCTTCACAGGCCGGGCCTGGCTAAGCCATCCAAGAGTCTGGGCCTGGCCTGGGGCCCAGGTGCAGGGAAGTCTGGGCACCGCCTCACAGGGCTGAGTGAGGGGACAAGGAACCCAGGAAGGCTTCGTCGTCTGTGGGTCCCAGGTCCCCTCAGCTTCCCTCCGTGCCTCCATCTATCACTGCCCACCCCTCCCTCCAGCTGAACCAGTACACTGAGTTTGGGATTCCTTAGCTTCCCCCCCCCCATGGCAACGTGTGGCACCTCCACCAGCCATCCTGTACGCAGGCCCTTCTGCCTCGGTGGCACTGCCTCGGTGGCCCAGCCTCCGTCTTCAAAGGGATGCCCAGGGCAGGGCAGAGGCCCAGCCCTCTAGCTGGCAGCCAGGTCTGTCCCTGGTCATGTCTGTCCTTGGCTATGCCCGGAGGAAGCCCGGCCTGATTGGGTTCCAGGTGACCTCCTCTGTTTCACACCTGCCCCCATCCCAGCTGGTGTGTCTGAGTGCTGTAGTGTTGGGGGTTGTTGCCCCAGACCCCACCCCATATTCCCTAAGAAGAGCTGCAGTGGTCTGGGGGAGGGGGATGAAGGCCCCATTTGCAGTGGAGGCACCTGGGCCTCTCAGAAGCAGGAGGCCCGAGGGGTGGATGGTTCCGCCTCTCTGACTTCTCATTCTCTTCTTCTACCCCGAAGGTTTGGCAACTGTGTGGAGCTGCAGGCGTCAGCCGCCTTCAACTGGAACGACCAGCGCTGTAAAACCCGAAACCGTTACATCTGCCAGTTTGGTGAGGGCCCCCTCTCGGCTTCCTTCTCCGGTCCCTGTCCCCTGGGGTACCACTGGCCTGCTCTAGGTCACAGGCCACATGTGCAGATGAAAGGCCACCAAGGATGCTTGCTCAGGGCCCTGTACCTGCAAATGCCTGAGCCCCAAGGGGGGACAATGGGCCCGGCATCACACAGCAGTCCACACAGAGGCTGGATGGAACCACGGCCTGGCCAGGGATTTCTGCAGGGCCCTGTCCTGTCATGAAAGCATCCCCCAGTGTTCCCTGATTCCTTAGAGTCTGATGATCTATGGAAAAGGGCAGAGATGAAACCTGGCCCAACACAGGCTCCCAGCAGCACCTGCTAGAAGGGTCTGCAGCTGCACATGAGCCATGGCCATGGGTGTGCAGTAGGATCCCCACCCCAGGGTCTCCTGGGCTGCCACCAACCCGCTCTGTCCTGCTTCCTTTACAGCTGAGGAGCACATTTCCCGGTGGGACCTAGAGCCCTGATGCTCCAGCCCACAGGCCTGTCTGCCTACCTGTCTGGATAAGAGCCGGGCTGGGACCACATGCCCAATGTCCAAAGAGGTCTCAGACCTTGCACAGCACAGAAAGTAGGGCAGAGGCCACTGTAGGGCCAGTGGGGACGGGACTGTAGGGCAGAAGCCAGGGCCAGTGGTCGGAAGAGACTGCTCTGCTCTGCTCTTCCTGGGCAGAACCCTTGGGAGCAGCTGGAAACAACCCCCCACCCCATGTGTACCCGAAGTTGGATTAAACTAAGTTATGAGTCAACTGGACTTGCCAGATGCGCTCCTTTTGAAGGGGAATCCACATGAGCAAGGATGAGCCTGGGAAGACCTGAGGGGGCCTGAGGCTTCACTGCTCATCCTGCTGACCAGGGAACCTTCTGGAGGTTCGCAGGCTCTCCAGCAGGGACTGGAACACCAGGCTGTCTGCCTCCGTAAGGTGGGTGTTCTTTTTTCCAGCAGCTTCCTCTGCTGGGCACTGAACTTCTGGAAAATGGTGTGTGTGGTGTCCATTGGGGGTGTGTTTTCACACAGCAGGGCTGAGGTACAGCTCGGGTCTGCAGAGCCCACTCCTATCCCTTACAGCTCCCCAAAGGTCTCAGCCGCGCTTACATGGTTCAGACAGCCGACATCAATGAACCGTCTTGAACCCTCATGCGTCCTCGCGGGAAAGGAGGGTTTTTCAATAGATTCTTGGGGGAAGGACAGGTTGAGTAACTTGCTCCTGGTCAGGGGGGTGGGGATCAAACCAGATAGTCTGGCTGGCCATCTTCCCTGATTTTTTTTTTTTTTTTTTTTTTTTTTGCTGGTTCTGCCTGCTCACTGGGGGTGCGCGGGGCTCAGAGAACAGATGCACATTGGCGTTCACACAGATGTCCCCAAAGGAGAGGGCGGACAGTCGCGGCAGGGTTGAGCCCCAGCCCCAAACCCCGTACCTGTCGCTCCTGGAGCGGTACTCCGTCTGCCTCTCAGCAGAAAGTTGCCCTGAGCCTTAGAGATCCCCACCTCGAGGGCTGCATGGGGACCACCTCTCCGTGGGAGCTTGTCCCGTGCAAGCCCAACAGAGGGACCTGAGGCTGGGCCCTGCGTGCACACCAGGCCCGGACTTGCGAGCACACCCGGCCCCACCC